AAGCGACAGGTGCTAGGAAACGCTGTTTTGTACTCATTTATTGACGAGTCGGCTGTGGGGCGGCCAACTGAATGCACTGCTTCTCTGCCGCTCACTGCAAAGAACAGACGCCGAGAGAGGTGACACTTCTCCGGGAAAGTCAGACCTCGCATTCGCGGGACAGCACTGGCGAAATCTTCCAACTGAACCATAGCTAAGGTTTATCCAAAAAAGTCGCTAGGTTTGTCCGTATGAATATTCTATGGAAAAAGCCACTAAAAGGGTCTGAAAGTTGTGTGTGTGTGTGAGACACGGGAGCTGATGGCAGGGGCGGTGGATATTTGTGGCAGTCAATGTGGATGAGTTCTTCTGTGTCATCACGTTCTATTAGCTCTACAGCTTCAGTTTCGGAACTTTCACGCTTAGTAACACATACAGCTGTTCCCTCACCACAGTGCAACAGTGAAAAGGGACCCCTTTCAAACAGTGTCGCGTTCCGAACGTTGTTTAAGCGACATACTGAAGCTGTTACTGAACAATACTGTATTGCGGTATTTTAAAAATTCATATCATAACAAAAATAAACACCGGTATTCGGTATGAACTGGTATACCACCCAGCACTACAAACAATCATAACTCATTTTAAAAATAGAAGGCACCACGCTGCTGACGTTAGGCCTTCACATAAGTGTGTCTTTTTGGGACAACAGCATGCATGCACTTAAGAAACATTAACACACTTGTGTCATGTTTGTTTAGTGTTGAGCGAACATCTGTTTGGCAAGCACCTGATGTCGAGTAGCGTGTCTGTTCTCCTCGTTCTGCCCCTGACTGCACTCTTCCTCTTGTTTCTCACGCTCAATGGCTTTCACCTGATAGGGATGACAAGCATGCAAAGATAAACAACAGAGAAAGTGCTAAACAATACAAAAAAGGACAAACCACACATGCCCATGCTAATTAATAATTGCAATTTAGTGGCCGACCAAAATGATGCTTTTAACTGTCAAAGCTCATACCATGCAAGAAACATTCAAAACAAAAATAATAGAAAATAAAGCAGACAAGCAAAGTATACTTTGGGCTTAAAGCACCTTGCACTCATCTGCTGAGAGGTTATGGTAGAGAGGGCATCCTGATATGGAGAAATGTCGCTCGTGTTTCCCCGTTAAATGTCCTGTACAAAAGAAATAAAGAAAAGTATACAGATTTTAGCTTTAAGCCTGACTATAAATGATCCATTCAAATTTGAAACATTTTATAAAACTGTGAGCATTGTTTTTTCCAGTTAAGCCCTTGTAAACCATTAGCACTGAATTTTATTATTAAGCAGATGCAAAAGGAAATTAATCTTAAGAGCAATTACCTAGAGAATTGCACCCAGGTGTGGGGCACTTCATATTGACGTTGTAGCTCTCGTGAAAGCGGCGGCGTTTTGGACGATGAGAGGGATCACTGCCAGAGTCTTTCTGGTCTTTAGTCACACTCTCATCGTGGGATTTCTGATTAACTACAGAAGTTTTCTTGATGCCTCCATTTATTTATTTTATTTTTTTGCAAAATATACAGGATAGATTCATGTTTGTTATTTCAGCCTCCAACTTTTTTTGAATGAATTACTAGAAATAAAATTAGAATTTATTTTCTGATTAATTAAAGAATCAAAAATAATTGTTAAGCTGCAGTAACACTAGTGAAATTTTGCAGGCATAAATGTCATATAGTAAACAATGTGCTTTTTTTTTTTTTTTAGGTGTGTTACTTTAACACATACTTTATCCAAAGTGTATCAAAGTGAACCGTTTCTGAAGTGTTTTGGACAACTGGCACTTTGAAGAGAATCATCAAACCTAAAATCTATCTACTGACCAACTGTATGAGGTGCCAATATAGCAGCTGTGTGTTTCTACCTTGAGAGCTCTGGCGGCGTTTTGGACGATGAGAGGGATCACTGCCAGAGTCTTTCTGGTCTTTAGTCACACTCTCATCGTGGGATGCATTGGGGCTGGATATGTCGATGTCAGATTCAGATGAGGGGGCGTTTCCTGTGGGTGTCCTGGGGGGAGACTCGTCTCTCTCAGCTGCTTGTTTCACATCCGGTGGAGCGTCTAGGTGAAGAATAGAAATAACACCTTATAAACATGCGTAAAGGTGTGTGTCAAACAGAAAAGCCTGGCAGTAGGGATTTTAATACAAACAGTAACTTTCATGAATAATAGAGCACAAATACATCACAGTAATATGTTATGTTAAAGAATATATGTGACCTTGAAGAATAACGTCTCTCAAGTCAGTTAACACTTAGTTTCTGCTTTTTTTTCCCTCCATTATTTTCATCTTTAATGATTTAAGTTTACTTGCTGCTCTTAAAATATGGTCCATTTTTTGAGAGGTTCATTTGATTTGTTTTACATTCTAAAAGAAAACTGAAAAGCTTACTGCAATTTACATTGTGAACTTTATACTTTATTTTATATATATATATATATATTAGGTGTGTTACTTTAACACATACTTTATCCAAAGTGTATCAAAGTGAACCGTTTCTGAAGTGTTTTGGACAACTGGCACTTTGAAGAGAATCATCAAACCTAAAATCTATCTACTGACCAACTGTATGAGGTGCCAATATAGCAGCTGTGTGTTTCTACCTTGAGAGCTCTGGCTCAGGCGCAGTGATGCTCGGGTCAGACGGGTGTTATTTCGCTGATTGGCTTCACTGTGGGAGCTGTCGGTCTTCTCGTGATCTCCAGAGTCATCAGAATCAGCAGTCCCGTCTGAACTACTGCCTGCTGTTCTCTGCAAACAGGGTGTAAACAGTTATATCACTATGCACGTCTAAACAAGTCAGACTAAATATAATAATTAAAGATGCCAACAACATAAATATGGTCAAAAACATACATCTAGCGTTAAAAGCAAACCGAAACATTTCGCTATTATACAATCTGGGTTGTGTTTGTATACATCCTCACCTAAAGCCAAATCGCTAACGTTAAGTTTAGTAGCTTATCAGCTTGAAACAAACCATTTCAGAGCCACTTCGGCGGTTTCCGATTCTCATGTGATAAAATGTTAGTTGCTAATACTGCTGATAAATAATTTTAATATTTTCAAAGAAACTAAACTATATTTGTCCAAACATGTAACGTACATAAATACTGAGCTAGCAGTTAGCCCGCGCTGAGGCGACTGGGCTAACGTTACTGACCTAACGTTAACGTTAATTCTCGCATTTTCTCTCACCTTTCTCCGCGGCATGTTCTCTTCGATGAATCCAACCGCTGTACTTTTCACAAATTTGTCAAACGGATATGTTTGTTTTCTGCTATCTGATATAATGCAGCAGCTGTGCGTTCATCATTTTCTGTGTTTCTGTTCTCGCCGATTGTTGACTCTCTCGCGACTCGCGCCACACCGAACCAAAGCGGAAGTGACGCGAGGGCGAAAAACATAACGCAGTCGTTTTAGAAATAATTTTGGACTTGTTCTGAGTAATACTCGTACAAATACAAACGATGACTTTCTGGTTTATAACATCCTTGTTTTGGGATTTTATATACACAAATCTAAGTATTTCAGAGTGAATCCTTGTTTTGTTTTGTTTTTCAAATGCAAAGATATATTGTTGTTGCCAAGTTGTGTGTACAAAATCTTTTGAATAGATGTTATGCGAAAATGTGTTTTAAACATTTCGAACGTAATGTTGTATGTGATTAATTTATTATACTAGCTCGATATTATTTGCACAAGTTAAAATGACTGATATTTGTTTTAAAATAATGTATTTTTTAAAGAGTATTTCTCGTGTTTACATCCATGTCCTTTGTGTTCTTATGAAATAAGTCCTTTATTTAAATATTTAAAGATTATAACAAAGACGTAACTTTGTGCATTTGAATTTGGTTCCACATTGCAAAGTGTCGACATAACGTAGGCTACACAAATTCTACAGATGGCGCTGCAGACATATTTGCAGTGAGGCCATTATTAATGACATGCATGAAGCTGGTTTCAGTAACATCAGCTCTATGGGAAACACCAGAATCCTTCAAGATTACATATCCTCAAAAAAAAAACAAAAAAAACTTGTTTGTGATAAGATTGTGATAACCTATATGCAAAGACTTTATGGTGATTTCAGATTTTCAGCTTCACCTGTAAGATTTGATCTGTAAGACAAAAATCTGTGTACACATTATCAAACTGAAATGTGTTTGGACTCTTTTTTTTTAAGCTCAAGTAAACATTTGTGTTGAGGTTTGCATCTGTTTCTCTGGCAGATTCTCACCCCTCCTCCTCAGGCAGGGGGTGTGAAAGGGAATATCATGGTCCGGGTGAGGGTAGAAACTACAGTGATTTTCCTGAATGTTCCACCACCGCCTTTAAATGGAAAGAGCAGGGGTTGAAGTATGTTCCTCTCCAGCAGCTGATACCATCCATCCTAAAAATAGAGCCAACCACTCAGACAGCCACAGCTCTCTCCAGTCAGTTCTGTCTTCTCTAAAAGTAAAGAAAACATCATAATCTATTAACCGTTTAAACATTTACACAGGAAACTACAAGAACAACTCTACGAGAAGTCAAAATGCCAAAGATTGTGAGACCAGAGAATTGGTAGGTGTGAACATGAGGGCTTGTTTGAAATGGTAGAAGCCGCATGCTGATGTCTTTGAATGGTATGTCATTTTTGCAATGCACTCGGCACTTAGACTTATTTATTTTAATAACTTTAGATCAGACAGTGATGCAGAAGTTTGTAACCTAATGAGATGTATTTTGTCTGAACTGGTTCTTTCATTTCTTTAGTCAACCAGCCAAAACACTGTGGTACGACCGGAAAAACTATGTGACTATCAACTTTGTGGTTCAAAACCCAAAAGATGTTCAAGTAGATGTCCAGGACACAAAAATTATTTTAAGGTAATACAATTATTTCCAATATTTATTATATCAAATATATTTGATTGTTTTAGTGTCTCTCAGTTTTTCCTCAGTAATATATAGGAAGTTAGTTTCAAAAGAATCTTATACCAGTGAGATTAAATTTGCTCACGTGTCAGGAGAGATCTTGGCCTCAGATTTGCTCAATATGAATTCAAGAAAGAAAAAAAAAGAACAAATTTGGAATATCTGGGACAAAACTTGAATGAAACATAATAAGATAATCAGATATAAAAACAAACTCTCAGATTGGGGGCTTTACTTAGCTAAATACATTAGTTAATAACATCAGCTAAAAAATGTATTTAGAAACAAGTAAGCAAATGTGTAAAATATATAATATTTCCCTATTTTTCAGCTGTAAAGACATAGATGACAACAATATCTACAATGAGATTGAATTTTATGACCGAGTATATAAAGCTGTAAGTATTTTACCATTCAGTTTGTGATTTGAACCCTCAAGTTTGTAGTATTTCAATGGCATATAACGTGCACTTTTAAACCTATTATTGTGTTTTATTGGAGGTAACCAACAGAAGAAATATTAAAGGCGTATTTTGTTGTGATGATACATCATGATTCGTGAAATGTGTAAATGATGCTAAATGTCTTGACATTTCATCAATGTCACAAAGTTTTCCGTGGCTGTCTTAAACAACTTTGTGAACAATGGTCTTTTAGGATTCAAGGGAGAAAGTCTTTGACCGAACAATTAATCTCTTGATAAGGAAAGTGAAGGAAAATGTGGCATGGCCTCGACTCCAGAAAGATCTTGCAAAGGTATCTATCTATCTATCTATCTATCTATCTATCTATCTATCTATCTATCTATCTATCTGTCTATCTATCTATCTATCTGTCTATCTATCTATCTATCCATCCATCCATCCATCCATCCATTGCTCTATCGCTCTATCTATCGTTCTATCTATTGTGCTCTGGTCATTTTTTTCTTGTCTTTTCAGCCCACATGGCTGTTAGTAGACTTTGATAATTGGAGGGACTGGGAACATGAAGAGGAAGAGGGCATGGCAGAATATGAAGAGTATATGGATGTAAGTCACTTCATCTGTTTGAAGAGTGTGATGCGACACCTGTTATCATTTCCTGCAGGATGTTGTGGCATGTTGAGATAATAAACTATTTTTTTATGTGAAATGTAATAACTCTTTTTGAAATGCAGATGCTTAATGAAATGAAGAACAAAGGAGAGCCTCCTGCCATGGATGACCTGGACGATCTTGTAAGTTCCTGAAACAGTATCACATGGTTATGCAGTCTTTAGTTATTTCGTTTCAGTTTTGAGGTCATGACAACTTTTCTTCTTTACAGAGTGACTGAGTGAGCACCAATGCCCAAGATGAGCCATTACAGTTTTCTAAAATCTTATATGTGCAGTAAAAGCCAATTCACATTGCCCTGATAAATTTGCAATATACCGCCACTGACATAGTGAGCTAGAGTTATATGTATGACATGGATGTAATATGTAACTGTCTTTTATAACCTTTATTTTTTCTTTATTTGATTTTCTTTATTTTTTAATCTTTTTTTTTATTTATTTTGATTTAATTGATTTCCTTGCAAAACAAATCATCCTTGCTTTGTCAGAAACAAAATTAGATGTGTGTTTTCTATTTGTGATTTTAAAAATGCAAATAAAGAAATTGTTTATGTTTTTCATATGCTGTATATGTATGTGTTTTCCACATTAAAGAGTTCAAGATCTGTGATACAATGGTATTTTTCATATGTGTTTGTTTATTTAAGATTCACACAATGCTTATCTAAAGAAGTAACTGGACCCGTAAGACACATTTAAAAATTGTTTTAAAAACAAAATTATAAAATGTTACATTTATCAAATTATTATTATCGTTATCTTGTAAAATAAGTAAAAAGGAATAGTTCACCCCAAAAATTAATTTTGTTTTAGAAAATTGCTCACCCTCAGGCTATCCAAGATGTACATGAGTTGGTTTCTTGCATAAGAACACATTTGGAGAGATTTAGCTTTACATTTGCACACCAGTAGATCCTCTGCAGTGAATGGGTGCCGTCAGAATGAGAGTCCAAACAGCACAGATTTGGATAAATTTAGTATTATGTCACTTGATCACCAGTGTATGCTCTGCAGTGAATGGGTGCCGTAAGAATGAGAGTCCAAACAGCAGATAAAAACATCACAATAATCCACAAATAATCCACAATCCTTCAATTAAGGTCTTGAAATGAAAAGCTGCATGTTTATAATAAACAAATCCATCATGAAGGCATTTTACAGTAATTTTAAGCCATCGCATCTGTCCAAAATACCCATCCATAATCCATAAAAACCTCTATAGTGAAAAAACTCTTGTTTTCTCACATCAAAATCCACCAACATATTTGTTTAGAACTGTTTTGGACTGTTTTCACATGTAACGGTGCTTGATCTGTGCATATTTCTCTCCTGATTCAGATGAGACAACTTTTTTTTTTTAAACAGAGGACTCGTATTTTAGCCGGAAGTGATGGTTTAAAGTTAAAATGTCTTATGATAAATGTATTTATTATAAACACACAACTTTTCGCCTCACAAGATGCCGTTGGACTGCAGTCGTGTGGATTACTTCAGGAATATTGCGATGTTTTTATCAGCTGTTTAGACTCTCATTCTGACGGCACCCATTCCCTGCAGAGGATCTATTGGTGAGCCCCCCACACCCCAATTGCAAAACATCATAAATCATCATAGTTTTACATTTAATGCAATAACATAAGACCAGAATTCAACATAGGCTCACCTTTTATCCATTGAACAGCCTGTGCTCCTGCAAGCACAGCAGAGCAGGCCTGTGAGCACAAGCGTTCACTACTGTTACGCATGGACAACTCTTGCTCAACTCTTTTTGTGCAACAGGATTGTGCCATCTTCGTCCAACTAAGTCAGCTGGCAAAGGTGACCCCCTCGCCAAGTGGACCTGTAAAGCTGTGTGTCTGTGCGTGTGTGTGTGTGTGTGTGTGAAAAAGCCTTTGCCATTTTATTACAGATCATTCATGCAACGGAGCGGAAAACAGGTCAAGCAGTCATTAACCTTACCTCTCTTTAACTGACTCTTGGTATCATTGTACATGCAGAAGTCCATTGGCCTAATCTTGTTTATCAGTGCGTATAAAGAGGAAGAGACCCACTCAATACACTGTACTACAGTGATAAAAAATGATAAGGAGGGAATGATTGCTGAGGTGGAAGCAAAATATCATATGATTACAGTGCGAGTATATCATGATTTCTTGCAGCATTTTTAAATTCTGCCATGTCATTCCAAACCTGAATGACTTTCTTTCTTCTATGGAATACAAAAGTAGATATTTGGAAGAATATGCTGGTCGTGCTTTTAAATACATTTACAGTACAATGAATGGGGAATGAAGCTTTTAAGGACACAAAGCCACCATAAAAGTATCATGAAAGCAGCAAATTTTGCACTATATTCCAAGTCGTCTGAAGTCAAACAATATCTTTGTGTGATGAAAAGACACATTTTTTTAAAAAGTTGTTATTCACTAAAAATGAGATGTCCCCCATAGTTCTCCTCAGCACATTAATGAGTGTTAGTGAGGAAGAATATGTTGATCAAGAAAAGAAAGAAGTGTGCTTAATTGTTTTAAATGTGCACTTGTAGTGCACTTTAAATCTTAAAAGTATATTTGTAAATACTGTACTTACTGTACTGTACAAAATGAAAGGCAACTTAAGTGTACTTAAAGCAAATACACTTGTTTCTTAACACAATCCATTTCAATAGGATTGACATTAAAGCATATTTTAGTTTAATATAACATTGGGCAGTAGACTTTAACCATATTTCAAAAACAATAGATGTAATTATGAAATTACATATAAAGATGTACACTGATGTCCTACATAAATGGGTCAGAAAAGCACTTTAAAGTTTGACTAATTGCATTTAATATAAATTAAGTATATATATTCATTGAATTGTAAATAACATGAAACCATTACATTCAGTTCACACTTAAGCATATTCCTTTAAAGTATATTATTCTTTCTTAGTATGCTAATGTGTATAGGCTACTTCTTTTTCACAAGGGTGCATGGAAGTACCTCTCACCATCTGACAGAATAAATAAAGTTTTACAGGTTTAGTATGACATGAGGCTGCAAACAATGCAATCATTTTTGCATTAACTACTACTACAAAAACTTTCTTTGCTTGAACACAGATAAGTTATTGTCTTCAGTCCCTCTGAACATACGGCAAGTAATCAACACAACCTCGAGACCCTAGATTCCTTCATCTCTCCCAAAGTTTGGAATCTGGGTGTGGTGTTTGATAACTCCTTGAAATTTGATAAACAAATTAGGTTCTAGCTTCTTCCATCTTCGTTCACTTTCTAAAATCAAGTAATTTCTCTCTAAAAGCTCTCTAGAGGTTGCTATCCATGCCTTTATTACGTCTCGGCTGGATTATTGCAACTCCCTCTATTTTGGTATATCAAAGTCTCAAATCTCATGGTTATGCAGCAGCTAGATTCCTGAAGGGGTGTAAAAATTTAGATCTTGTTACTCCCCTCTTGAGATCATTGCATTGGATGCCAATTCACTATCGAATTGAGTTTAAAGGGGTCATATGATGCAAGTTCAATTTTTCCTTTCTCTTTGGAGTGTTACAAGCTCTTGGTGCATAATGAAGATCTGTAAAGTTGCAAAGACTAAAGTCTCAAATCCAAAGAGATATTCTTTATAAAAGTTAAGAGTCAACCACGCCTACCTAAAACGGCTCGTTCTAACACGCCCCCACATGTCTACGTCACGATGTGGGAAGATGCAACAAATGCCTCGTTTATAATGGGTTTTAATGTTTTTTGCTCCGGCCGGACAGGGCATCACAATACGGTAAGGGGAGTAACATTTCCGTCACACGCTTGAGGTATTCGGCCAATCACAAGGCACTGGATAGCTGGCCAATCAGAGCACACCTCGCTTTTCAGACCGATGAGCTTTGTAAAAATCGACGTGTTTCAGAAAGGCGG